GGCCCGAGATGGGAGCTGAGGGTGGGGCGCAGGCTGGGCTGAGAAAGAACCTCCGGGAGAAAGGAATCGGGACCCCCACGTGCGGCAGTCTTGAGGCAAAGAGATGGACAAAGCCAGGAGGAGAGGGAGAAGGAGGGAGCAGGAACAGAGTGAAGGGCTGAGGCCTGCCTGGAAGCCGCTGGGTTGACAGGCCTGTGCCTGGTGCATTGGCAAAGGCAGCCTCAGCCCCTCGGCTCCAGCCAGCGCGGCAGTTCGTGCTTCAGCACCTGCACAGCCCACCCCGACCCACCACCCTTCCTGGCCTGGTTCCCCTGCCTGTCCTCCCCACCTTCTCCTCCCAGTACCTCATGGAGATACACGGGGTCCTCCCCACAGGGGGAGACTTGCAAAACTGACAATAGATCTGGGGCTTGAACCCGTTAGCCCTGGAGCCACACTGCTTGGGCTCAAATCCAGCCCTGTGCTCAGTCACCCATGAACCCTGGGCAGACTTCTTAGCAAGCCTGTGCCTCAGTTTCCTCAGTTGTAAAATGGGATGGTGATTGTTCCTCCTCCACCAGGTGGTTGTGACATCTGTGAAGTGCCTAGCATATGATAAGGACTCCACAAGTCTTCGCTATTGCTGTTGTCAAGAATTGTCAAAACAGGATCACAAAATTGTGGTATAGTTTAAAGTTTACATTAATAAGTTATAGTTTTAACTCAAAAACCATAATAGTGCATAACTGTGCTATTCTCAAGTAATTACAAGAGTTTGTTTTCCTTTAATTACTTCGCAGCATCCAGAAGGTAGTATGGTCCAGTCATGGGACAAGCTTAGAGATGAATGAGAAGCATCTGTGTCTATGACTATGAGTATATATATATAAAACCTCCTTTAGAAATAATGTCAAAAATCTTAATTTGAGGCCCTTTGTGAATGTTTGTTTCCAGGCAAAATGTTTTCCCTGGTCCTGCTCTGAACCCCCACACCCAAGCCCAGTCACGTCTGAAGATGACTACCGCAGATAAACCTGGGAGTTGGAATAGACTCCATTTCCTATCTCTCTTGATTTCGAAATTATATTTTATTTCTCTGATTTCAAAACTAGGTTAACTACGTAGGCCTTTAATTCTATAATTGGGAGAGATAGATAGATCGATCGATTGATCTTAAGATGCAAAAGAAGAAGGAGAAATAATGTAAGGCTAGAATCATATGTCCTGTAAACACCTAAAGTCAGACCAGTCTTTGAGGAGATGAAGGCCTGCAGGCCTGGTCTAACTGTGGGAGGAAAGGCAAGCTCTCTCTACCACACAATTTTAACTCATCTTGTTTGTATGCCCAGTAGAAGCTAAGTATAAGACCAGCAAGGAGTGGATGATTTTCAACCACATGCCACTTCAGGGCTACAAACATGACCCTAAATTATAGCAGCCCATAATATAGGAGCTTGAGAGGGACACAAAGGTAACGCCGCCCCATGGTTTCCCATAGAAACACCAATGCTGTGCGGAGAAGTCTTTGTGCAGCTACCCAGGGATTGCTGTTTGCAGATCTTTAAAACAGGAGCCTTGGCAGCGACCTGGGAAGCTGAGATGAAAGCCTGCCTAGACTGGAGCCGACTGGCTGACCTTTCAAAGGCTCTTTTATCCTTGAGCATCTTCAGTTCTGATGTAGTGTTGAGTATTTTTCAACTTCCTATCAAGAGGAGGCAGGGAGCATTTGAAAAATAAGGTTGGGTTCTGCACTCATTCCCTCATGCATTTTTAAAAGGTTTAAAAAAATGGATAAACATTATAGTTACTCAATAAATAATTCCAACAAGATGAGAAATTTAAATTTGTCTACTTTGCAAGTCTAAGAGTTAAAAATTCCTGTGAAGGAACACTTGAAGGGGGAAATATCATTTCTTTTTTTTAATGGGAGGCAAGTCATTGTTGATCTGCCCATAGAAGGAACACAGCACGTTTTTATTGAGTGAATGATGTATTGAGGAACATAGTTTTCCCTCTCTTAATTTTTATGATTTTGGAGGAAATAAAGTCAAAGCATAATGATGGCAACTTAAAAATTACTGACATTTATTGAATGCACTTTACCTCAGTTACCTATTGCTGTGTGACAAACCACTACAAAATGAATGTTTTATCATTTCTTAGGAGCCTATGGGTTGATTGGGTTCAGCTGGGTGGTCCTTCTTCTCCACATGGGGCCTTTTGAGGCTGGAATGTCCAAGATGGCTGTCTAAAGCCTGGGCTGGAATGGCTGGAACAGAACAGCGAGGGTTTGAGTGGGCATTTCTCTCTCTCTCTCCAGGGGGCCTCTCCAAAAGGATAGCCTAACTTTCTTGGCTCAGGGTTCCAAGAGCAAATGTCCAAAGAGGACAAACCTCTATGTGCAAGCACTTATCAAGACTCTGCTTCCATACCACTTTGTAAGTTATCCAGCCAAGTCCAGGGTCAGTGTGGGAGGACATTACACAAGGGCTTAATACTGAGAGGCATCATTCATTTGGGGCCACCAGTGTAAGTCAGCGACACAACCCACTTGCCACACCTGTATGGGACATTTTACATTAATTTATCCTCTTTAAAAATTAAAACACCTGGGAGAAGGGTATAGCTCAGTGGTAGAGTACATGCTTAGCATGTGCAAGGTCCTGGGTTCAATCCCCAGAACCTCCATTAAAAAATAAATAAATAAACCTAATTACCTCCTCCCTTCCCCCCAAAATTTAAAAAAAAGAAAAACCCTATATAGTGGATACTACTTAGAATCTTCATTCTAAGATGAGAAAACTGAGGCAAAGAGAGGTTACTGACTTCATTACCCAAAGTCACACTGGTAAGAAGTGACAGTTGGGACTGACTTCAAGCCATTCAACCCTAGGACCTGAACTCACAAGCCTGAAGGCATAAGCCTAAGAATAGGAAAGTATTAACTTCTAAAAGTAAATGGTATCTCAGAAATATTTAGGTAATATTTGATGTAGAGGTTCATACATTCAGTAGCATCTATGAGAATTTTGTCCTCCTTTTTCTAATGGAGGACATAGACATCTTAGCTTCTAAAAGAATTGTGGACCAGGTGTGGCAAGAGCCCTGGCTTGATGAGTTCCATTGACTTCGGTTAGAATTTTTCTTCTGCTTAATCACTGAGTCACTTGATGACTTAATTTCCTCAACTACAAAGTGGGAATGATAATCTCTAACTTACAGAGTCATGGTGAGGATTAAATGAGATCATACAGAGAGCACAAAGTATCTAGAATGTTCCAGATGCATAAGCTATGCTCGTACCCATGTATAAGTATGCATATTGGACAGAGCTGCTGTGGTAGGACATGTGGGGAGCAGACGTCAGGGGATTCATGCTCTCCTACATGAGCTCACTAGAGAATGATTAGGGCAGTGAGTTTTTGTTTTTTATTGACGTCTAGTTGATTTACAATGTTGTGTTGCTTTCTGGAGTGCAGCATAGTGATTCAGGCATACATATATATATTCTTTTTCATTATAGGTAATTGTAAGATATTAAACATGGTTCCCTGTGCTATACAGTAGGGCCTTGTTGTTTATCTATTAGAGTAGTGAGTTTTAACCATAGCATAAGCTGTTATGCTTAACCACTGCTGGAAAGCATGGATCACAACAGGGTAGGAGAAATTACTGGTCTGGAACATCCCACCCTAGAAACAAAAGAAAAATAGACACCATGGTCCCCAGAAGACTCATGTCCGGTATCCTCACATAGCTAGTCTAACTACCCCAACTCAACTTGACCAGGCTTCGTAACCTGCACATTTAATCCAGTTCTAAGAATCTTTTAGAGCATTCCCCAAACTTAGAGAGTCATGTACTACTAGCCCAGTGTGGATCTAGTCCTGGTCACCTTCCAATAACAGAAAACTACTTTGATTCTTGTGAAGATGTGGAAAAAGGGAGGAAAAAAAACCAAGCCAATTCGTCATGGATAACTTTCCAAACCTTAGTTTCCGTTGTCTGGTTATATCCGCAGCTGTCTGCGGGTTTTGAGGCAATTTACAGCTGGAAGAAACAGGACTCTACATTTCTTCCTTTGGGGTTTGAATGATGGCTTTTTCCATGGTATTATGGTCACAGTTCTATACATGAGTTATGGCAGCTTTAAATTACAGCCACAATATTATGGGGAAAAGGATAAATCTCACTGCCTTCTTTTATCTCCGAAGCAGTTGGGAAATGGGGAGGAGGCCACTTACCCAAAAGGGATAAAATGATGTTGGGCAATGTGTCTGTGTCAGAAAAGGCAGCTGGCAGCAGGCTTTGCTGAAATGCTCTCAAATGCTCTCATGTTATTATACAAATCTGTCTTTCCCAGAAGCAAGAGGAAGGACAAAGCAAAAGAGGATGAGTGAGGAGAATGAGAACTGGGCAAACCCACTAAAAATCTGCTCATTCCACTGAGGTCTCTGGTGGTAAGTGCTCAAACACTGCTCTTCAAAGACTCAAGGATACTCTTCCCAAAGCAAGTTTTTTATTTTTTTAAAGGTTGTTTCCCATAATCCCCTAAATGCGTTTCTCACTATCTCACATGCCTGAGTGCAGTAATGGGATGATTTCTATCCTGTTAGCTGTGTAAACTCATGTAAGTTAATTTAACCTCATTAAGCTCAGTTTTGTCATCTGCAAAATGGACATAATGACACCTATAGTCTCAGTGTTACTAGAGTAGCTAAAAGATGTTCACCCCTTCCTTTCTCTCACCCTTCTTCCAGACTCTTGTCAGTTCTGCATCCCACATGTCTCTAAGATGAATTCTTTCTTCTCCATCGTCTTGTTGACACCTGATCTCTCTCCTGACCCCTGGCAGGACCCTCTGACAGGTTTCCCTAGCTTGGATAGTAGAGGAATCTCCAGAATGCACCCTGAACCTCCTCTACCTAAAGCCCTTTGCTTGTTCCCATTGACTAGAATGTAAGGTCTAAACTCCAGAGCAGAACACCCAAGTTTTTGTGATGGTAGGCAAGAGATGTGGTCTTTGAGAGAGGACCAATAGCTATTTGTTAATTGGAATGATACAGAGTAGATTAGCATGCCCCTGTGCAAGGATGACACCCAAACTCGTGAGGAGTTCCATATTTTGGGGGGAGGGATAAAATGGGAATTCAGGATTTGCAGATACTAACTACTATGTATAAAATAAACAACAAGTGCAGGGAACTATAGTCAATATCTTATAATAGCCTATAACGAAAAATTATAGGAAAAGGAATATACATGCATGCATGCATACTTACATACAGACATACATACAGACATACATATGTATCACTGAATCACTGTGCTCTACACCAGAAACTAACACAACTTTGGTAACTGACTACACTTCAACTAAAAAAAATTTTTTTTTTAAAAAAAAGCTATTTATTAGATGGCAGGATTGAAAATCCAAAAGATTCTTGTAACTGTGTGGTCAAATGAGCAATGGCCAAGGTTGAAGTTTTTAGGTCGCAGTTTTTGTGTGGATTTGTCTTTCGGCCACATAGCTCTGTCCTGAAGACCTTTAGCAGCCAATGTTGCTTTCTGAACAAATATATTCCCTTGTGTTCTTTCCCTGGCTTAAGAATTTTTCTGCTAATTATAATTTAAGAGAAAAAAAAAAGGAAAAAACAAGGCAAGCAGTATTCCCTGGCTTTGATTTAAAAATTCCAAGGAATTCTTGTCCTGAGGAGAGTCGGAGGTACTCTGGAAACTAAGGGAGCCAGCTTGGTGAGTGACAGGTCTGACGTAGCAGTGTGGCACACTGATGACACTTCTGGGTTCAAACAGCCCCACTCTGCACGTGTTCTCTCCATGCTGTTACCAGGGTTTCAATCTCAGTATTTTAAGGAAGAAAGAAAATTATTTGAATGGAAGACTTTACATGCTACGCAGAAAAGAGTCAGAAGGACAGCCCTGAAAACCAGGCAAGAACAATAGACTTCTCCTTGGCAGTAAAGGGGAGCAAATTACTGATTCGATGACCCTCAAAAGCATTAGGCTGAGTGCAAGAAGCCTGACACCAAAGGGCACATACTGCAGGACTCCACATATATGACATTCTGGAAAAGCAAAGCTTCAGGGACAGAAATCAGATCAGTGGTCGCAGGGAATGGGGGAGAGGGGCAGGCATGGACTACGAAGGGGCAGGAGGGAGCTGGGGGTGTGATGGAGCTGGCCTGTGTCTGGATTGTGGTGCTATTACAAGACTGTATCAAAACTCAACTGTACCCCCTTAAAAGGGTGAAGTTTACCGTATGCAGATTGTACCTCAATAAACCTCACTTCCACACACACACCTAGTTGGGAAGATCGCACTCAGCTGGCTGGAAATCAGGGCTGTGGGCATGTCTAGGCGATGGCCACTGGGATGTTGTCTGTGTTTTACATTAAGATTCTGGGGCAGATTTTGTCTGCAAAAGAATTGTGCTGCTGAAAACATTTGGAAACCACTGGGTAAGATTAATATCAGTGGGAGGCAGCCGAGACTTCTTAAGAGGGCAATGCCCTCTTTGTTGTTTTTTCCCAGCTGTACCTTACCATGAGACAGAAACCAGAAGAGGGAATATTTACTTTCTCTGAGTAACCCCAAAAGTGTTTTCTTTCCCTAGAATTGAGTCTCACTTAGAACTCCATGTTTCTCTACACTTTGGAGCAGAGGGTGGGAAGCCATCTCTTTTTGCCGGCCTGGACCGGCCAGCTAACGCATGCCCCTCAGCGTGAGCAGGTGCAAGGCAGTGAGGCCTTTGTTCAGCCCAAACAGGCACCTGATGGGCTTTCCTGGCCCCCATGCCGCCGTGGGAGCGCAGCAATAAAAGGACTTGGGAGAGTTTTGCACGCCTGGGAAGCTGACCGAATAAATCATCCTGGAAACTGCGGGCTGGCTCCAGGTCCCAGACAGCTCTCCTGCGTTCAGGCTGTCCATCGGCAGCCCTTCTGTGGGCTGGCAGCCCCCTTTACCTCAGTCCCCACATCTTGTTCTTGCCTTCCCCCGAACCTCCCAGTTGCCTGGTGGAGCCCTGGAGGTGTTCGTGTAGATGAAAACTGTTAGGATTTGCTGACACACGTTGGGACTGGGGTCATCAGTGGAAGAGGAAATTCCTTCTTCCCAGCTTCTCTACTTCACATCAGATGTGCAGGTGGCTGAGTGCTCCATTGTCCTGCCAAGTCAGAACTCCTGTGTCATCCACCCTCCTCTAATGTGACTCCTTCTCCACCCTCCAAACCTTCCTAACGGCCTCTGGAAGTCACCGACTGATACAGCTCCTGGCTGTGGCCCCTCTTTTCTGGCTCCTTCACTTCCCAGATGCCAGTGACAACTCCTTGTCCCCTCCAGGCATGGGGCTGCTAACAGCTTCTCTCTGTTGCTAGTTCCCACAAGCTTCCCTTTGTTCTTTCCTTAACCCCACCCATATCTAAGTGAATGTCCTTTCATCCTGTTCTCTTAAGCTAAACCTGTTCACGGTTTAATCTGATTTCTGTAAGGACAGTGGCCATTACAACTCCCCTGCCGCAAATTCTATCATGACTTCTCAGTGTCCTTAGGATAAAACCCAGACTCCCTATGCCCTCCCTCCCTGACCTCATCTCCTACTACTCTCCTCTGGTCTGCCAGGTTCTATTCTATTCAACTCTTTTCCATTTAGGGCCCTTTGCATCCGCTCTTCTGGAATATTCTTTCTCCATGTAGGCGCAGTTGCCTCATTCTCATCTTTATGGTGTTCGTCAGAGGTCACCTCTTCAGAAAGACCTTTCCAGGCCACTCTAGGAAGTACATTCCTCCCCAGGCCCTCTTCATCCCAGTACCCAATTTTCCTTTTTTTTTTTTTTTAGCCCTTATCACTATCTGAAATTATATTCATTATATTTACAAACATGCTGGTCACCTGTCTCTTCTTCACTGTTAAGCTCCACTCTATGTATCAGGATTACAGCAATAAATCAGTAATGGCACACTTGAACTGAGTCAAATTCAAAGAGTTTAATAGAGGGACCATTCAGAAAGATGAGGGCAGCAAGGGAGAGCGCGGTACCCTGGGGCCAGAGACGTGGGACAATCAGAGTGCTCGCCAGAACTCAGAAGGGAGCTGAGTGGAGAGGGCTGGGCTGCCTGATGGGGGGCTGCAGCCTTTGTGCGAACTCACAGCAACCTGGCGGGGAGGCAGGTTTGCTGTCACTCCCCTCCTCCCAATCCCCTGCCAGTGGGAAGTTGGAGGGCAAGAGAGTTGATGCCAGGCATACTGGCCTGCATCCTGGGACACAGAGCAGGGGAGGGGGCGGTGGATGGAGGATGCATCCGAAGGAACAAAGGCGTGTAACACAGCCAGTGGCCTTGCTGTGTTCAGGACAGTGCTTGGCACTGGGTCCCCACATTTGACGACCCCAGCGAGCGCCGTATGTAGAGTTGTGTAAGATGGCCGCCCTGCCCGGCAGTAGGCTCTCAGAGAAGGAGACATGGAGTGAATCCATGAATCCCTATGGATCTGGCTCCAGGTTCTGGGGACTGATTAGGGAACGTTTCCTCCCTCCTTCACCCGGGCAATCAGGACAGGCAGAGTCACTCCGCTGTGGGCTTCCCGAACACGGTCACCAAGATCTCGGCCGTGGCCCTGTAAGATGGAGAGAGAGGACTCCCATGACTGGTTGGCTCGTACGTTCTGTGCCAAGGACATTTCTGAAGTTGAAGAACAATCTCTATTAATATGCAGCCTGGAAACAGGAGCTTGTTTTGCATTGTGTTTGGAGGCAGAGAGGAATCAGGTAGCAAGCTGGCAACACTTCTGATTTTCCACGGCATGCAGAGCTCTCCAGGCTTAGTGGGGGCAAGAACAAAATTATCCATCTACAGGATTAGTGGCTGAACGGAGAAGAAGCCACGTCATTACACCGTGCTGCCATCAACTTTTAGCAAGGGAGGGGGGAGCTACATTTGTGACCTGTGTGGAGTAGGTACACCTAGGTTGATTTTTAATCAGAAATCCCCTACCAGTGCCTACTAGGTATGGGAAGTGGCGGGAATTCACAACGAAGTGAAGACAGATGGTTTGCATTTAACAGCATTCAGCGAGAGGAGCTGTAGGTGCGCGATGGAGAACCAATTACAGGAGGATGTGTTCCATTACTAAGGGTGGAGTGGGAGATGCTTGTCAAAAGAGTTTGAACGTTAAGCTAGAGAATAATATGATGGGATGAAAATTGCTGCCAGAATAGTTTCCCCTACTTCCTCAGTACAGGACAGCTTGTAAGAGGAGGCGACCTGGGATGGCTGTGACAATGGAGAAGCTGGCACCCACAGGAGAGCTGCCGGGGTCTGCAACTCTGTCATCCTGCTCCTGCCCTTATGGCTGCACTGTCATTCCATAAACACAACCGAGTTGCAGACAGCTGTGAGCTCTGTGTTGCTGCCTTTACCTGGTGCATTTCCCAGCACACCTTTCTGTTTGATCTGTCCTATCCCATTTGCATGAAATAATGTTGTCACCGCTTTCAGTTGCTTTGCGTTAGCTTTGTTACAAAAGGAAAACGAATTACCGATGCGTGTTCATTTCAGGTAGGAATTCTGCCTCCCGCCAGGGGAGGCTGCTGCGTGCTTGTTGACTGGCGACACACCGATCCACCAAAACAAGAGTAAAACGAGGAAGCATATGTCCTCTGGGGACATTAACTTCAAACTTCTAATGCTGAAACTTGTCCCTTCTTGCCATAAACCACCCTGAGGCGTCTGAGCTGATAATAGATTAAGAAATTTACTTTCTATATGAAACCGGCATTTGATAAGGTGGATCCTTATTTATTCAATATTTATGGAGCCCTTACTCTGTGCCAGGCTCCACGCTAGGCCTGAAAGATACCAAGATGGATAAGATGTGGCAGGTGTCCCCCAAGAAGCTTACTGTCTAGTGTGTGTGGGGATGGGGGGCCTGAGCAGTGCTGTGATGGCAAGGATCGCAGGGTGTCGCAGGAGATAACGGGAGAGGCTGCTGACCGAGACTGGGGCTGGGGTGGGGGGTCAGGGGCAGCGCTGTGGGTGTCTTCACACACTGGTCCACTCTCCACCCTCTCTGTGCCCTGCGGCTGGTTCACAGAGACCACATCAATGGGACC